TGCAAAGAATTTTTAATAGGACATAATACTACCATTTAGACTGCTAGTCTTCATAGGTAACATTAATTCACTTAGTATCTTGAAATATCCCCTATCTAGCTTAGAACTGAAACTTCAGTCATCTCATTGAGATAGTCAATATTGTAAAGCATATGTTAGATCTTTTGTTGTGAAAGCTGCTTGATGAGCATTAACTGACCCAAATCTGTATGTTCGTCACCTGATTATTGACCCTTCCTTATTGTTGCTGCAAGTATTCTTTATTTGACTTGAACTACAAAAGATTTGTGCTGTCTTCTACAGAAATCCCCTAAAAATGAATGTTTATACCCTCAAAATCCTTCTCAGTTCTTACTGAATTCTAATCGTTTAGGTGCTTTAAGCAAAATCCCTAACAAATTGAAGTATATGCTTCTAAGCCTTCTGAGAAACATTTATATCCTGGAATTGAACAATTAATTTGAGAATTTTAGATACTTGGTCCTATATTCATTTCTGTGAAATTATTCCTAAGTGGGACTAAGTATGTCAGCATGAAATACCTTAGCTTTAAACAGAAAAGTTTTTTCTTTTCCAAGCTGGTTATAAAAAACGCCATGGAAATGCAGAAGCAAAGTGGGGGGTACACAGCTTCTAAAATTTCTTCACTTAGAGAATCCTGGAAGCTTTTTTTTTTTTTTTTTTATTATTTCAAAATGTTCAATTACGTGAAACAATATTTCTTTGCTTTGATATATACAGAAGTTTGGCTTGGTTCCAGATCAGGACAAGAATGGTGTGCTAAACACACAGAAGTTCATGAGGGAGGAGAGATGTGTTTTCTTAATCAGCCAACTTGGTTAGACATGAAAACAGCAGAACAGAGACAAGCTTACACATAAAGAAAAGCTAAAGAAAACAGTTAATATGTGTGAGGAAGGCTTTCTGTTTGTGGGGTTTGTTTTGGTTTTTTTTTTTTTAAGAGAAAAAACTTGATTCATCATTCATGAAAAGTGCACTTGTAACAAACCAGTCAGTGAAGGTTAAATGAAGAGTAACAAGAGTCCTGAAAAATGAAGAAGTGAAGTGAACACAATAAGAAAAAAACATGAATAATTTCACATATGTTTTTGTTCCTTTTTAGACGTTATTGACTGCACAACTATTTGGAAAGCAGAATGCAGTATCATCAAAGAGGTTTCTAAGATTGTCTCATATTTAATTGTCTTTCAGAAGTGAAACTGAACCTGTCGTTTGTAACTGAGAGCTTTACATGTCTAATGTTATTATTCTTTGATTTCAGGTGATAATCCATGTGTTTGCTCACAAAGTGAGAGAATATAAACAGTGCCTAATGCTTGAAACTGAAGTAGTTTTTTCTTTGCAGAATTCAAATCATCTCTTTGTTTTGTTTCTTACACCTGCGACCTTAAAGCCCATTTTCTGTTCCATAATCCCTGTTGGTGGTGTAACTGCAGGTAGCAGAAAAACTTCCAAGTTTTGCAAAAGTCTTGAAGGCTTTTTTTATGGTTCCACAGCAATTTCATCAGTTCAGGATCCTCCTTCAGTTTTTAAATTTTGAACTACATTTAGCAGGTGGCCTTCCTCATTCAAACACTGTCTGCTCTGTGACAGCCAGTAGGGCAGGTGTCTGAGAAAGTGTCTTCCACCACCCTGGCTCCCGCTATATTGATATTACAAATGCTGCCTCTTTTACTCTGCATTGGACCAGGAGCTAGATCACTTCCTTGTCTCTTCACAGCTCTGAGAATCCTTATGACCATACTGCTGGCGACAGGCACTCAAAAGGTGTTTTCCTGTCCTGATGAAGCAACTGGCTCCTCTTCCTCCCTTTCTTGTCCCTGAACTGAGTCTTGGTGTCTGTATTAAGGTGGCTATTCAGAAGTGACAGAATTCACCTGGGAGATGGGGTGGACTTTGGTGTTTCCCAGACACTGACTGCTTCCTCAGGACTAGCTGAAGACTCCACACCCTCTAATGGTAAGACGTATTGGCATCTCACTCCGCTGGTAAAAGCCTCTGTGGTCCCACAGCAGTATGTGCATTTGAGTTCTTCGCAGAAGAGCCTACAAACCTTGCTTCCGTACTGTACACAGCACACAAGTCACTCCCTTATCCCTTGAGCGACTCCTGGTTTTCAGCCCAGACACTTTCTGTAGTGGTGGATGTATGTAGAGGGATGTCAGTTCTTCAGCTTTTGCACCTCGAGGCTGTTCTTGTGACCGTACCTTGCTTTGTTTGGGGAGCATAGAATTCTGATTTTGAGGTCAGGATCTTAATGTAGTAAGGCGCTAAAGTCCTATTTAGGAATTAAGAGTTTAAATATTTCTGGAATTAAGAGTTTAAATATTGCCTGAATCTGATGTGACATGTTTAAGGAGGCTGTAAAACTGCTCATGACCAGATACCTCATAACCTATATAAAGGCATTGTAAAATTTTGTGGTTAGTTTATCAAGCACACTAAATTTTCATATTTCGTGTTCCGGTATATTTATAGTCAAATGTTCTTGAAATTACTGTTTAAAGATGATTGTTAGTGTGAGGCAGGCTTAATGCTGTTTTGTTTTTTGGGGTTTATTTTTTTTGTACTTGATAACCACCTGGTGTGAACATCAAGACTGCTTTCTCATTTAAATAGTAGGTAAGTACAAAGTGATTAGTTTATCTTTGTTCAAGAAATAAATGATAAGCTGGTTTTAGACATTTTTAGGAAAACAATAAGTATTGCCTGGTGGGTGATTTGTTTATTTTTTTAAAAGATAACTTCCGCCTCCTCCCCAGGTGACTAGAACATAGCAATGACTGAACATTTTTGAAGCATTTTGTATTATTCGTTGACCAGGAAATATGCTGCTATTGGGGAGTTACTATAACAGAGTTTTCTGGAAACTCATCATGGGACAGGAGTTTGATATCTCAGTGAGTAGGAACCTAAGCATAAATGCAATATTGCCTCCTACTGCTAGGAGTGTTTCGTTGTATATACTGCCTCTTTTATTTGGGGATGGTCTTAAGTTTGGTTCCTGTGGATATTTCTGTATTATTCTTTTCTTCCCTTTTCTTCTCAGTTCTTTCACCTCTGCTGGTTTGTTGTTTTTTTTTTTTCCCCCTTCAACAAGAGAATCAGCAAACATACATAAGGTTTTTTTGCATGTAGTTCTTGCTTTGCTTCTTTTGACGCCTGGTGCTACATCCTCATGAGCAATTTTCAGATTGCCCCATGGGATTAAAAACAGGAATAAAATATCTGCGAAGTGAAACTCACAGTAGATGGATTCCCTAGAAGGGGTTATTTTCCTTAAACAGCACCAAAAACAACTTTCAACTTTTTTCTTCTAGAATGTCTTTTGCTCAAAACCCTAGAGAGAGAAGACATGAAAGATTGATGCCCGTTTTTGTTAGTCAGACCATGGGAAGTGTGCTTTGCTTCTTTGCTTGCTTTCCGAGTTTGGGTATGCAGGGCTTTTGGGAACAGTTTTAATATATAAAATGCTAGGCTGGCCTTACAAGCCCTGCTTTTCCTACCTCCTGGAAATGCCGGTTCATTTCCCTA